GTTTACAATTCGGATGTCTTTCCATACATATCTTGGGCTTTTGGCAACAATGAAGCTTTGCAATTACCCTGCCAATTGACACCCCCATGTAATTAAAATAATGACATAGCATTGCGTCTTGCTGGTTCCTAATGTCTCTGTCTCTCTTGCTCTTTTCCCTCCCTCTGTTTATCACAGCGAACAGCTGTGGCCATGCATAGGCTACACCTGGCACCTATAAGATTCCAGTTGCCAGACTTCTCTTTCTAGTACTTGCTTTCATTTTCAATTATTTTTTTTTAGATGTATTGCTATACAGAGTGAGGCTGGTGCCCAGAAAGAGAGAGAGAATGAGAGAAAGAAAGAGAGAGAAAGAAAGGCTGCAGGTGGCATTGAGGATGGGAAAAGAAGAAAGCCAAGTCTGGTTGGCTGGCTGGTATAATTAGCCTTCTCTTGCGAAATTTATCAGGGACATGTCATTTCATATGCAGTGTGTTTCATAAGACCAGGCGTTTCATGGGCTCAGGAACTGATTAAGCTCATGGGAATTAATAAAGCACACTGGGCTGTGTTTACATTGTAGATGTGTATTGGTTGAACTGGAAGGGTAAACCCACAGCAGAAATGATTGAGAAAAACGGAGCATCAGGTCTATTTAGTGGGAAATGTCACATCCAAATGTGTTAGGAGGTAAGACACTTTGTTTCAAGGTAGATTAATAATCATGGCAGGAGAAAGGCAGCAAAATGTGTAATTGTATGGACGTGGGTGGCACTGTGGTCTAAACCACAGAGCCTAGGGCATGCTGATCAGAAGGTTGGTTGTTTGAATCCCCGCGACAGGGTGAACTCCCATTGCTCGATCCCAGCTCCTGCCAAGCTAGCAGTTCAAAAGCACATCAAAGTGCAAGTAGATAAATAGGTACCACTCCAGGAGGAAGGTAAATGGCATTTCCATGCACTGCTCTGGTTTGCCAGAAGTGGCTTAGTCATGCTGGCCACATGACCCAGAAGCTGTACGCCAGCTCCCTTGGCCCGTAAAGTGAGATGAGTGCCGCAACCCCAGAGTCATCCGCGACTGGACCTAACAGTCAGGGGTTCCTTTACCTTTATCTATGAACTGCCCAAATGCATGCATGGTCTTGGAAACCTGTGGGAGGGAGGGGTAATTTGGAACAGAAAAGCAGTGGATAGGGAAAGGGTTATACAGTATTTGTTTATTTTTGCCTGACATCTCTGATCTAAATTCCCCTCATCTTGAAATCAGTAGCAGCAGCATGGAGCAGTATGAGGTTGAGTCAGATTTTACCTGTTTGTTACAGTTTCATAAAGTGTTTACCCCCAAAATATTAGAATTAATAATAATTATTAATCCAGGGTGGATTACAACAATTAAACATAACAAAATTAAAATGCAACATGGTGCTCTTGATGTAGTTTCTTTGCTATTGTTTTTAAGAATTTGATTTTTTGAAAGCAGTTTCAGCTGTGGTACCCCAGTTATGCAGTACCTTCCCTAAAAAAAAATTTCCTGGTACCTTCTTGGAAATCTTTTCAGTACCCTGAAATTTTCAGCCCTGAAATTCAGTTAGGAATGGTAGCCCATAAACATTTTAATTCAAAAATAAATACAGTTCTCTAGTATGAGGACAAAATCTTAAAGGTATCTGAATGGTGAATAGGCAAAGGTTTCCTGTTTACCAGTGCCAACTACTTATTCCAAAACAAAACCTGGTAACCACTGGTAATGGATGGCAATTGTGACATTCCTCATTTGCACTTCCTGTCTCCTTTACAAATGTGTGAGCAAGTGCATTTGGCAGAGATCCTAGTTTGATCCAAGCAATATATCCGGTTCCCTTCCCCTGGACAATTAATGACAGGATTTAAAGCTTCATTTAAGAATATTCCTAATAGATGTTGTGCAATGTTTGAAAAATTGCATTTTTATTTGTAAGTTAGTAGTACCCTAGTCAACAAAAATAGATTAATTTCAGTATTTCAAACAACAATAAAATGTGGAGGTCTTGGCATAATAAAAAAGAAAAGCATTGCTTGTATATATCACTCAGCAAAGTACGCAATAACTAATGAGGCCCAGAAGCTGCTGCAATACTGCCAGGATGCTGCCTACCCTCCAACATTTCTCCAATGAAAATAGGGACGTCCCATTCCACAATGATAATTTGACTATTTATACCCCACACATCTTACTGGGTTGCCCCAGCCACTCTGGGTGACTTCTAATAACATATATTTAAAAATTATAAAACATTAAACATTAAAAAAACTTCCCTATACAGGATTGCCTTCAGACGGCTCAGGGATCGGATAACTCCATACCCTCCAACATTTCTCAAGTGAAAAATAGGGACATCCCAGGAAAAAGTGGAACATTTCAGGATCAAATCAGAAACCGGGATGGCTTCCCTAAATCAGGGCTATCCCTGGGAAATAGGGACACCTGGAGGGGCTGGTGCTTTAATGGACAGAGCGCCAGACTCGGGCCTGGGAGAGCAGGGGTCCAGTCGCCACTCAGCTAAGCTCATTGGGTAACCTTGGACCAGTCACTGCTGAACCTACCTTGCAGGGTTGTTGTGGGGATTAAATGAGTAAGGGGAGAACCGTGTATGTCACCTTGATCTCCTTGGGGGGAAAGGTGGGGTATAAATGAAAACCAACAAGATCCAACTGGTCTATGGTAGAAAGTGCTATTCAGCTGGGAAGTAGCTGGAGAGTTAATACAAATTGATAGGTTTTGCATAGATGCCGCCTCCTACTGGTTCATACAAAGTCGTGAACTATGATTTGCAACACAGTAAATAGGAATGGAAGGGATGCGGGTGGCGCTGTGGAGTAAACCACAGAGCCTAGGGCTTGCTGATCAGAAGGTCGGTGGTTCGAATCCCTGTGACGGGGTGAGCTCCCATTGCTCGGTCCCTGCTCCTGCCAACCTAGCAGTTCGAAAGCACGTCAAAGTGCAAGTAAATAAATAGGTGCCATTCCGGCAGGAAGGTAAACAGCATTTCCGTGCACTGCTCTGGTTCGCCAGAAGCAGCTTAGTCATGCTGGCCACATGACCCAGAAGCTGTACACCGGCTCCCTCGGCCAATAAAGCAAGATGAGTGCCACAACCCCAGAGTCGTTCGTGGCTGGACTTAACTGTCAGGGGTCCCTTTACCTTTTTAAAAATAGGAATGGAAGGAAAGGGGCACCGCAAAGACCTATCTGGTCTTCAGCTGAGACACTTAAAAGGTCATCTCCTTTATTTGGTTCCACCTGCTCCCCTTGGGTCCCCTGAAGGTAGTTGTGCTCAAGCCAGGGATGTGACTGGTAGATATCAGTAAGTTGTGGTGCTGCTCTGTATCAGGCATTGGACAGGGTTCAAGTCTCAGCAGGAAAGTGCTAAGCCCAAGGTTCAAATTCCATTAAGGCATGTCAGGTAATGTAGAGGCAAAGCAGATAGAAACCTGGATAACTTTTAGTGAAGCATCACAGGAGCAAGCTCAAATTGTGTTGCTTGGACAGGTAAATCCAGATGGAACCTTATACTGAGCAGTCCCATCTTCAATGGCCAGTTCTGCCTCTGATGCCAAAGCCTCTTCAGTTCAAGGAGCCTAGCTGCCTTTGACAGTCATTGACTCCAGTGGTACAAGGCTGGTTGTAGTTCTGGAGTCCTCAGAGAATGACAATGTAACCTCCTCAGGTGGGAGAAGCATAGGCTAAAGTGGGTGCAGTTGGGGTGTCTAGGACCAGTTCTTGAGACCAATTCTCTCTTACCTTCAGTTGCTCCTCATTTACCATGAGTTGCTCATGGCCCCTTTAGCAGGGAGTAATAACAGGATTTTGGCCTCCCTCTTTTTTATTTTTACATTGGTCCTGTTGTGATGTTTTACCTGCTGTGAAGTATTTGTGTATTACATATGTGGTGGTTATTTTCTTCCTTGTTAGATGGTTTAGGGGGGCCATTTAGAAGACAGAAAGGCAGGGTTTTAAGAAGTCTGCAAAATCATAAATAAATGAATGAAGTTTGAGATGTTCATTATGACAGCCAAATCACATGAGTAACAGCAGTGCAAGGATGTTGTTGCTGCTATTTTCTTCTACTTGTTTTTGGGGGGTTCCATTTTCTCTGCTGCTTTTTAACCAAAAAGAAAAGAAAAGAAAAGCACCCATCCTTGTCAATCAAATTATGTAAACACATTTCTACTGGAATGTCAAGTGCATTAACAAGACAATGATGGGAACTAAAATATCACTCTGCTGAAAAGGAATTGAAGACTCTTGAAACACTACAACCTAAATAATAGGAATGAGGGGGGATTATTCAGAGCTGTTCAACCTCAAGGTTTACAAAGTACTTCAGAGAGAAAAACTCTGAAATTCCCATTTATTGCTTTCAAAGTGTTGGGTGGGGGGATGACACATGTCACTTCACCCTAGAAAAAGATGACATCTTTCACCTTCATCCTTCTTAATCATCATTCCTACACATAAAGCCAGACAGACAGACAATATGCCTTGTATTTAACTTTTGCTGGGGTGTGTAGGGGAGCCATTTGATATGCAAAAGACTTAAAGAATGAAAAAGTTAAAACGGCTTTATATAGTAAATAGAGGGAAGAATCAAATAGCCAATTCATCATCACTTTATTTTATTTAAATTTAAGTTTGTCCCCTACACACAGAAAAGGTATTCACTGCAGGTGGCTTTATTGTGAATATTTCATGTATTGACATTAAGCGTATTTTTTCAGTTGCATTTCCATCTTGCCTCAGCTTTAGGGATGTGTTGTTGTCAATTTATTATACAGGCTATTTGCAACATACACAGATGCAGATGACTGGATCCAGAGTCTCTCTTTCTTGAACGTAAATTCTCCTTCTGTGTTCAGAAGGGATTGAGATCAAGTAAAGGGTCCCACGGCGGGGGGGAGGGAAGGGGCATTGTTTTTGCTAATTTCCCCTTGCCTCTGCAGTCATTGACCTTCCCCAAACACCACCTGCAACTAGGGGCATCAGCGCCAATTTAAGGTAAGATCTCACTAAAATTGTATGAGATCTTGAACACTGCAAGTGTGATTTCAGTGAGATCTCACCCCAAACTGGCACTGGTGCCAGTGCCATATCTCCACCGCCAGCAGAAGTGGCAGTGCAGACAGGGCACATGGTGTGTGTGTGTGCGTGCGCGCGTGCACGTGCGCGCATGCCTGCCTGCCTGCCTGCCACCTTGAGGGATTCTGCTGCCTGAGGTTGCGGCCTCACCTTGCCTAATGGCTGGGCCGGCCCTGCCTCTAACACTGCCGGAAAGGGTCCCTTAGCCCTTCAGAGCAGCTCATCAGGGGAATATTCTTTGCTTGGCACCACCCACTTTGGAAGGCTTGAGTGAAAGAATTGTCCCTTGAATTTGATATTTTCACTTTTTGAATGTATTGGAAACACCCAAACCAGCAGAACTCCACGCTCCCCAAATTCACAGCAACTTCTCTGAATTGAATTGCAGTTTTTTGTTGAACTGTGCTGACAAACATGAAAAAAAGTTTTGAAGGTGAGTTGTTGGCTTTAAACAAATCACCATTAAAAATAATAAAAATAATACCTTTCACCATCAAAGCGTGAATTGCCTATATCACTCAGTGAGAACTGAGATCTATGCCATATATATATATATATACACACACACACACACACACACACACACAATATATATACATTTCAGGCATATATTGCTGAAGTTATTGTATACTCTGGTTATGTTTGAATTAATAGCACATTTCCATTTCCCATGCTCAAGATGATAGTTTTTAAAATGTTTATACAAATTTTAAAATGAAAGTCTAGTGTCACACTGATTCGAAAATATTCAGAATAAAACCACAGCATGGTAGCTAGTAAAATAGCTTTGTTTATAGCTCCCTTTTCCTACTTGACTCACCTGGTCAACCATGTAAACCCTAATGAAGGCGAGTTAGATTATTACTTACCCTTACCCCGGATCTCACTCAGAGATATGGAGGATGAAGATGCTTCACTCTACCTGTAACTTGCAACCCGAAAGGTATGCTCACCACTTTAAAAAATAAATGATAGTTTATCCAATAAGGGTGTGTGTGTGTGTGTGTGTGTGTGTATGTGGACTTCCATCTAAATCTGCTATGGAATACAAAGTTCATTTCTATTGCTGGGAGCTAGTGTTTCACGCCCCCCCCCGCCCCCCATGGACTAAGGCATGTTTCTTTCACACATTGTAAGAAATAAGCTGTCAAAGTACACCAGTTTTATCAGATGAAAACGTGTGTAATTTGAGTGATAGCTAAATCAATATGGCTTTTCTTCTGATTTATGTTAAATTCTGATAGGTGTGACCAAAAGAAATACTAAATTTTTGTGCTGTAATGAAACTTGGCATTTGACTGCCATTATATATTAAAAAATAACCCTGAACTCTAGTGCCTTTAGGCATTTTTACCTTGCACATTTGGCATTTATATAGCAGATTACCAGAAGCCTCGCTGACTGTGGTAGCTGCGCGGGAGTCATAAAAGTGTTTTCATTTAGCTGACCTGATTTTTAAACCTCTCATCTTACAAACATCCATATCAGGTTGAAGTTCAACTTTGCTTGTGCCAATGAGCTAAAGGATCTTTCTTTATAAGAATAAAGTCTTAGCTCATTTTCCAGCCAAGTAGTTTTGCAAGGATGTGCTCTAAGCTGGTAAACAAGGGCGCAAAGGGGGGGGGGGGAAACTATGGGAAAGTAGGACAAGGCAAATACGCCTCTTTCTTTGAGCATGGATGGTTATGATGTAGTGAATTGAAAAGCTCAGACTGTAGGGTGAGCTCAGAAACACCATTGTTTGACTCTCAGCATCAGATGCTGGTGACAAATAATTGGTTTGAGTGGTTGATTTATTGGCATATTGTGTTTGTGGGATTCCTAAGGCCATACTGTTGGCCACATTTGGAAAGGGTCTTGCAGGACACTTTTTCCTAAACATAAAGAAGTTCTTGTATTTTTGTTTTCATCATGGCTTTCTCCATTCTTCTGGTTGGGGGGGGGATGGCATGGGGCACCAAGAGGGAGATGTGGAATACTGAGGCTATGTTCACATTAGTGAGGTCATTTTAACCACCCTGCCCCTGCTGCATTTCCAAGTCACTTGCTGCTGCTGTTGTTGTTGTTGCTGCTGCTGCTGTTATAGTAGAGCAGAGGGAGCAGGGTGTCTTTACCCAATGATTTATTTTCCCATGCCAAATTCCATTCAGTTAAGCTTTCATCTGTGCACATGCTGTCATCTGCACATGTGCAAAGTTTTCTGAACTGTTTGCACCCCAGTGGAACTGGGGCTTCCATTTTCAAATCACATGAAAGCAGGTTTAAGAAAAAGCACATTGAAGAGGAATGTTTCTGTAAAGCTGTAGGATACAGAAGGGTTGTGAATAACATCATGTGAACCCAACTTAAAAAGCCAGCAGTGGGTAGGGTTGCCAGGTCAGGAACATTCCAGACCCTGAGATTTCAGGAGCCAACCCTGATTCCTTGGGACAGCCCTTGGTGATGTCACAGGGAGAGTCCTTAGGTGATATCACAAGGTTACCCTGGAAATGGAGCCAGTGTGGTGTAGAGGTTAAGAGCGGTAGTCTCGTAATCTAGGGAACCGGGTTCGCGTCTCCGCTCCTCCACATGCAGCTGCTGGGTGACCTTGGGCCAGTCACACTTCTTTGAAGTCTCTCAGCCCCACTCACCTCACAGAGTGTTTGTTGTGGGGGAGGAAGGGAAAGGGGAATGTTAGCCGCTTTGAGACTCCTGAAGGGGAGTGAAAGGCGGGATATCAAATCCAAACTCTTCTTCTTCTTCTTCTAATTGGGAGAGGGGAGTAGTGGAGGGCAGGAATGGCCCTGCCCAAGTGTCCAGGCTATAATTTGCAGCCAACTACTGCTGGCGTGCTCTGGTCCATGGGGTCACGAAGAGTCGGACACGACTAAACGACTAAACAACAACAACAACTGCTGGTCTGAAACCTGCTAGCTGCATTCACAGTCTTCCTTACTACCGGTAATTATTATTAAAGGCTCTCTTAGCCACTAGTATTTTCAAGTATGATTGAAAATACAATGACTTGTCCCTGGAGATGAAATAAGGTCATCAAAACGACACAAATGAAAGAGGGCATATGAAAATTTCAGTAGGACAGATATATTTCATTCTTCTCTCTGCAGAATTATGTGGGTTAGGACTCAGTGAGCCTACCCATGACTCATGAATAGAGGGTATGACACATTTTCCCCACTGTCAACAAAGAATCTTGTGAAACTGCTGATTTTAGTTACCTTCCTCTTCTCATGTTTTGGGAAAGCAATTTACATCCTGTTTCATATTGCTCTTCCCCATCTGATATTAACTGTTAGAAGGAAACCTGCACCTGTTTCTCTGGATGTTCTTTGAAAAGATGCCAATTTATTTTTATATGTATGTTTTCAAGTTTATTCATTGTGAGTGATGGGTCTTATTTTATGCAATTTTCAGAGTGCTTGTCTTGGCAAATTTAGAGATATAATTAATCACATGGGAGTGCTGCAGCTTAACAATTTTCTTTTATTTTGATGAAGTCAACTCCTCCAGATATCACCCAGTTTTATGTTTAGAACTGGGAACTTAATACCAGCAAGAATTACTTTTGCAAACGCATCTTGTCAGCTCATTCTTTATCAGCTCTGTAGGTCTAAAGTTTAAAGACTTAAGTTACTCCCACTGAAGCAAACTTCACCTAGGGAATTTTCAGAAGGTACAAAAACCAGCTATTGGTTTTTCAGAAACTTGCTGTCTGGAAGTTATAGTGTGATAACAGTCCTGATCTGGCTGGGGAATCCATCGCAAAAGGAAGTTTGCCTTTCCCCTGCTGCCAATAAGCACAGCAGAGACCCTGCTGGTGGAAGAGGGGAAATCTTTTGCCGTACCTCAGGGGAGGGCTGCAACTCAGCAGTGGTGCATCTGCTTTGCATGTAGAAGCTTCCAGAATCTCTTGGACCCCTGCCTGAAAGCCCAGAGAGCCACTGCCATCCAGTGTAGACATGACTGGGCTAGAGGGACCAATGAATGGTGTGATTAGGTGTAAGGCAGTTTCCTATGTTCCCCTTCCTTCTGCAGCCATCAGTCGCCCCCTCCAATGATGTTCTGGAAGGTCCTCAAACCCTCACCTAAAGCAGGTGTGAACTCAAGGCACCCTGTTAGAGGGGTCTATGTGGAAGCCTCTATCCAGAAGCCAAGTGTGGGGCAGACAGGCCATAGAGCTTCCAGCAGCGGCCTGGGAAATACCACCTTGTGTCAAGAGACAAGAGTCAGCTTCACTTGCTGAACAGCAGCCTGAAGGGGGAGAAGGCAGAGTGACTCCACCTGCAGTTGATCAGCCTTCAAGGACACAGAGGAGCGAGAAGGCACTAATGAGAACCAGCTGACTCTAGACTTTTTAACCGGAGCTCTCAGCAGCAGTTAGATGCTGGAAACTACGCCTGTGGTTCCTGGCTCTACAATGCTGCTTCCTGCTCTGTCTAGACCAGTGGTGGCCAAACTTGACCCTCCAGCTGTTTTGGGACTACAATGCCCATCATCCCTGACCCACTGGTCCTGTTAGCTAGGGATGATGGGAGTTGTAGTCCCAAAATATATGGAGGGCCAAGTCTGGCCATGCCTGACCTAGACCCTTGGCTTCACAATCATTGGATTCCCTGGCCGTTGAAATGTCTTGACTAAGTGGATTGTTGTTTGCCCAACCCTTGGAATGGACTTGATTTCATATGCTGACTCTGCCAAGCATATCTGAGACTCTGCTCTTAACAACATTAAGAAAATAGTAACTTTTTAAAAAGCTAAGCACTGTTAAGTTCATACACATACTTTCCACATCCCCATGACTCATTTGTCATTGATTCAGTTCATCAGAATGAACATAAAACACACACACACACACAGTGCCTGTTGTTAAGCCAGATCAGCCAGATGCTGCGCTGGCTGGGGTCCTTGGATAGTGGGCCATGGTGGAGACAGTGGGGCTCTCAGACCCACCGCCAGTGGTAAGGTGGATATTGACTCTGGTTAGCCTGCCCAGACACCA